ACAGTGTAGGCAAAGGAACTTTTTCCTATTCATACCTGAGTAGGTAAGGTCGATGACATCTTCCCTAACGAACACGCCATCTATGGTATCGACGGCGAATATCAAAGATGAACGAGGCTCCCCAAGGCGGTCAGTTGCAAATACAAGTTACGACATCGACTGCAGACGACATTCGTTTTCAATTGAATGAAATACTCTGTAGAAAGAAGGTCTAAACTACATACAAATTTAAAGAGTAATTTACTCATCCATAAACCATTATCAAAGAATAAATTTAAATCTATTTAGATTTGAATCTAATTCAGCCATATTTTAAGAGTTTTTGATTTTCTGTTATGGGCGCAGGTTTGGATTGGCATTAGTCATTATAACCCAGACAACAGACAACTTTAACAAAGTACCAAATTGTAATTATTAATGGCCGTTTTGAATGCGTTTGTGTTAATGTACTAACAATCACGTGAATGTAACAGATTCATTTCGAATGTAGTATCAATCCCAATGCTGCTCAAACTCATATATTAAGATGAAAATTTTTCCACCGAATAAAGGATGGGTCCCGCCATCTACAAAAGAGCAGCAGAACGAATCACATATGGAACACATGTTGGATTTGAGTGTAGATGTAGAAATGAACTTCAATGGAGTTCTTTAAAAGTGTGATTTTTATTCCAGCGTGTACTCTGTTGGAGGTTTTTCCAATTATATTCATTCTGGTTGCATAGTGTGATGCAGAATGCAGAAAGGCATGCAATCCTTGATGTATACAGGGAGACCCAAATGTTCGTTGTTACATTTGACAGGAGTATCGGATGTTATTACTATTCAGTTTTTTCTTCGAGGGCTTTTTGAACTATCAGACTTTTTCAGCTCATTTACTTTTGAGGATTCTCTACATGGGTAATGTTTTTTTAAAAAAAAACTTCCAGTATATGGTGAATAGGTGGAGTATCATCCAAGGCTGTTTTTCAACTCAACCTGGGAGAAACTATAGATAAATAATATGAACACAAGTCGAGTTAACAATATCAAAAAAATTTAGTTATTGCTTTACTTTAGAAAATTCATTTTAGAAATGCCAAGGTCGGGAACGGACAAGAGGCTAATGAGATAAATAAGTCTTCAGTCTTTTTTTAAAGTTTACGATGGTGTATGATCGAAATTCGCAGGGTAGTTGATTGTAATATTTGGGTNTCTGAGGTCCTTATAGCTATTCCAATCGGCGATAGAGAAAGATTTCTTGTATTTACTCAGAGCTCGGTTTTTGAGTGCAATCATCATTTTTATATTGTAAGTTAACCAAGGTGCTGGGGGTTTAGTTACTCTCTTCGTTTGAGAAGGGGTGTGTTTTTCGAAAAGATTAAGAATGTTGTCGTTCAGGAAGGAGACCATACAATCCACGTTATCGAATTGATAGATGAGATCCCACTGAATATTCAGGACGTCTAAACGGAATAGATCGAAGTCGAAGTTACGATAATCGCGAAAAGAAACCATTTTAACTCTTCTAGAAGAAACAGAAGCATTAATTTTGCACATCACTGACATATGGTCTGAAATTTCCTGAATATCATATACATCCACATCTAATATTCTTTCCTTATCAGAGACAAGGACGATGTCAATAAGGGATTGAGAGTGAGCAGTTATTCGGGTAGGCTTCTCTATAAGCTGATAAAGACCGAACGAATTTATAAAATATGTAAGGAGTTGAGAACGCCGGTCGTGAGTTGACAGGTTGATATTAATATCGCCGGCAGCCAGCAAAAAATCAGATGAAGGAAGTAGGTTGGCCATGCTGTCTTCGAGTTCGTTTGAACATTGGATCAAATCAGCTGAAGGGGCCGGTATAATACTCCAAAAACGAGAGTTTTACATCTGTGGGTTGTTGAGATCCACAACTGTTCAAGATGAGAACTCATATGACTAAAGAGTGTTTTGAATTTAATAGAGTTATTTATGTAGAAGGCAACGCCACCCCCTCTGCCACTTCTGTCGGCGCGAACCAAAAGATAATTGTTAATTCCAATGGTATCAGAGTCAATTATTGGAGAGAGCCAAGTTTCAGTGACACCAAATATATCAATAGTTTCATTCGAAATATGTTCCGATAGCAAATCAAACCCTGTGAATAATGATCTTACATTCAAATGTACAAATTTTAAAGTTTCGGACATTTAAGGATATTTTCCCGACTGAAGCATATACAAAACAAACAATTCTGAAAGGTTAATTAGTAAGGGTGGTAGTCGTCAAAGCCGAAATGAATATATTGACTTATTTAAATAAATTATAATTTTTTTACTGCTCATTAGAGAATGTAAAAGCAATTAACAAAATGTAAATGACATATCTTTTATTTCTATTAAGTGACAGACGCTCAAAGTTAGTATTTGAAGAAATTAATATCAATACGGCTTAATAATCTTGGCAGTCGAAGGCTAAAATGGAAATAAAAAAAAATTAAAGTGTAACTGATCTCCATCCGTATATGAAAAAAATTGCGAGCCTTTATAGTGCAAAAGTATTCGAAACAATGCTTTTTAGAATTTTCGAATGTTTGTCTATACGTTTCTGAGAACTTTTCTCAGAAACGAGTTAACTTTTATATTGTTGTACGATTAACTCAATATTCAGTTCCTGACTTATTCCGATCAGTTCATAGATGGATAATGTTATGTGAATATGATGAACCACATCAAACACTTTGAAAAAAAAAATCTGTAAAAATACTATTGAGTTGATTCAACTGTAACGTTGGTTTACTGTATTTATACTTTGTAAAACGTATTTTTTATATAATGTTGGGGATGCAGTCAAAATTGCTGGGCTGTTGTTTAAAGAATACTCTTTGTTATATGGTCGAGCTTTCGAGAATGTTTATTCCCTTTATCAAGACATCTACAATAAATTGATAACATTGAAGCAAAATTGTAAAACAATAGATAAAAAGTACTTACTAACTTGAGGTTATATTAAAAAGTCGAAAATTTCACTGAGAAACACAAAAAAGTCCTTTTCATTATGTAGAAAAGTGTCACACATTAAAATTTTTATGGTTTAAAGAAAATATATATATAAACTTTATTCAGAAATAACATTTAGAGGATTTGAAATTTTAAATTTTATTTTAACGGCCATGCATGGCACTTACTAGTGGCGTGGTAGCAACTAGAAAGAAAGGAAACAGGAAATATCTGCAAATTGATAATTGACATTATGACATTTGAAGTTTAAAATTTGAAAATTGACAATATAACTAAACCAGGATTACCAAAAGGTATACCAAACAACAGTGATTACACTAGCAGTCTCAAAANTACCATACTTCGACAACGAATTGTTATTCGGTTAAGTATACAATTTAAATTTCTGGTAAAGCTAATTATTTTTTCAGATGAGTATTTGCATATTTATAAAAATCTTCTGCAGCTTGCCACCAAACATCTTTGTAAGTAGTGGATGGTTTATGGAATTGTTCAATACTGTGATATCAAGGTATCAATCGGCTTTTGAATTACGACCACGAAGGACAATTCAATTTCCAATAAACTACCAAATGCGTCACAAAGAATATCATGTGGGTGAGGCGTGGCTCGGCTGGTCTTCATCTGTCACTTGTGTCCTTTTGATAAAACACCTTCTAAGCACTCCAAATGGGTTACCTATTGAATCAAGGCCCTTTTGACACTTCTTCTTCTTCAACCCATTTTGGTCATTGACAATCGAAACCAACAGGGTTGCTCAAGTAGTTACGTCATTTCAATGGCTCCTTTCTCAATCCTCAGGGTGTATTAAGGTCCTTCTGATATTTTTCTTCGTCGACGACGTCGGTGAAAACACCCTTCTGGTCATTGACGATATCCTCTACAAGAACTAACAAGGGTGCACACGAACTCACGTAATTGCATTGTTCTCGGGGGTACATGTAAGCCTTTTTGACAACTCTTCACGTACCTATGTCACCCCTACACCTGAGAGTTGAGAGAACTCGATAGACTGTATCTAGTATAGCGTCTTTATTACTACTATGGGTGACTGCTGATTTTTCTGGTCTTCCACATTTTTGGTGTGCTAAGTGTTCTTTATTTCGTATTTGAATAGATCTTTCAGTCTGTCCATAGTATTTTGCATCACATGCCTTGCATTTAATTTCATAAATTTCAGACTTTTCCGAATTCTCGACATTCTCCTTTCGATTTCCTATGAAGCTCTGTAATGTATGACTTGTTTCAAATACCACCTTCATACCTAATTCTTTGAAAATCTTTTCAATGTTCATCTTGTATTGGTGGTATGAAACTGAGACATATTTGTCTTGGTTTATCGATAACGATGAGATTGGAACCTTTGGTGTGGAAGTTGAATAACTTGCCGTGGAGAGTGGTGTGATAACTGCTATCTAGGACCTCCCGAATTATTTTTTAGTTTTTAGTACATTATCTTCATCATATTCGAATTTCACCTCGTGTCTGAAGAAGACGTTGTAGATTCAGTAAATTGTCTGCAAACTAATGCAACTGGAGTAGATGGTATTAATATTACAATGAGGAATATATGCTTTCTGATAATAAAATATGGTTTGTTTGAAGGTGATTGACAATGTTTCATGATGATTTTCACTAGTTCGGACTTCCATTGTCTACTATATAAAATGATTTGAAATCCCTGAAACAACTAAAAAAGAATAATTGAAAATGAATAGCTGAAAATAACAATTATATTAAGTTATAAAAACCTGAAATNGTTCACCTACTGTTCACCTGTATAGTTGCTCTGTTTGGATAGTCTAGATTTGTGCAGGAGACAAACAGTCCAAAATTCCTATTCACGCTATATCTATGGCATCCGTAACTTCCAGTATATTTCTCATGAGCTTCCTCAGTCGCAATGACTGTCAATGAAGAATCGTTTCTTATTGCAATGTCTAACCTTATTTCACAATATAATCATCAAAAAATCACCGCAGTACCTTGATGATAAAGTTCGATTTCGTGAAAATGAACATGAAGTGAATATCCGACACAAAAATACAATAAATGCCCCCCACCACAGCACAGCACTGTTTGAGAGATCGTTCAGTTTTTCTATCTACACTCATTACAATAGTCTTCCCACATACCTAAAAAAATTTAAACTGTCACTTTTCAAGCTACAGGCTCGTAACTGGCTATATGAAAAAAAGCTATGGTGCAACTAAAGTCTCGCATAAAATGCAAAAATTCAAGTCATTCTGTAAACATTATGAATTACTTTAATTTTTTTTTGTCTCACTACATAGGCACTATAATTTTTTGTACATTATATGTTTAATGAATACTTTAAGTTTTATATATTGTAAAGGATTTGAATAGAAGAACAGGATTCGGTGTGTTGCACACCCATTGTATTTTCCTTTCTGCACTTTTTTTTAACAAGGTATTTTGGAAGTGTCAAAGTCTGTTATGGATTCATTAAATCGTTCCTGCTCATTCCATTCATCTGAATATTTCCTAGTAAAACTCGACAGTGAATGTTAATGAAGAAATATGCAGCTTGTAGCGAAATAATATAAATTGCTAACACGAACCATCCGTTAATTTCCTGGGCACATGTTCCGGTGCGTGGTTATTGAAAACAAACCGAAAGCTGTGATATGTGTAACAGTTAAAACAATATTCATCAAACAGCATATGTAAATATTCATAAACGGATCATCGAGCCTTTTTATTCCCCACATATAGTTGTAGATTTTGGAGCGATGTTTCCCCAGATGTTCACGTTTGCGGCAGAATCAGTGTGTTTTAATTTGACAGCTCGTTCGTAGGGGATTTTCAGGGATTTCGACTTATGTAAACATTACAGAGGGCACGTGTGAAAAATTAACACGAATGTGTCACGTTCTGTCTCATTATTCAAGTAGTCCGTGTAAACTGCCGTCCACCGCCGATAATGTCCTTTGAACATCTGTCCCATCGCGAGGACACTAATAATCGAGTGACACATGTCGATGGCGTTCCCATTAGACATTTAACAATATAATTTCGGGATGATATCGACTAATTCGAATGATAGGTACAGTCTCCATTGCTGTACAGAGTGAGCCAAATTGGGAAACTCCTGTTTTCAAACTAGATACATGAAAACTGATGGCTGTGTCGAGTCAAATTTTATGACAAACTCAGTGCTGGTGAAAACCGCATATCGATATCTATAGTCGTTTCTGAGTAACATAATTTTTTCCAAAGTGTGTATTTTCTGAAAGTAACTTTTTTCATGCGAAAAATTTCTTGTTTCTATGAAAATATTTCCAAAACACTTTTTACGTAAAATTCAATGGTGTAAAAAATCTATTTTTCAAATGACATTAATAGTTATTGACGGAAAACAATTTTTCCAATAAGACACCCTGTATATTTCTGCATATTGCAGTATAACTTAAGATTACCTTTCCAAAATTGTAGCAAAGTTGTTATCTTTGAAATAAAGAGCTTTCAGTTTCATAAACTACACCTTACGATTTTATCTCCACAAACTTTATATGAGAAATATATCACATGTTTCGCTAACACAGTGACCTCTTCAACAGTGATTTGAATACTATGAGTTGCTTCTTATGCTAAAATTTATACGGCGTGACTCACGGTCGATGGTAGGCTAGACGTTTCTGGAAAAAGCAAAGCATGATTTTTCTGAAAATTTCACCTCTCACATTTCCTTACCTGTTCTATNTTTCAGAAAAATCATGCTTTGCGTTTTCCAGAAACGTCTAACCTACCATCGACCGTGAGTCACGCTGTATTCCACAGGTAACTACGACTGAGACTACTTCCATCAAATCACCTAAAGCTCTACAACTTTCATATACCTGAGGTACATCTTCAATTATTATTACCTGAAGCATATTACATTACTTCCACATCAATAATAATACTTCCTCGGTTTTTTTAAGAAAACAAGTTCAATAATGATGATCTATTCAAATCCAGTTGGTCATTCATTAGAATGTTTGAATTTTCAAGTTCAATAATTTCCATTGCTTCCAAATGATTCACTTTCAAATCTCCATTTTCTATGTGTAAAATTTCGAACTCTCGTTAAAGGTATGATTTTCTTCTAAAAGATGATTCGAATATGTTGAACTTGTTTTGTCATTTACATAGCCCATATGATGTTCCTGGATTCGATTTCTAAATGTTCTGCCAGTTTGACCAGAGCTTCTAGATTTTTTTTATGAAGACTTTGAAACGCACACTTTGGTCAAGTAGACTTAGGACGACGCGGCGATAAAACAGAAAGAAATTGTTCAGGGATAGCTATCAAATGTTGAGAAAACTTTTCACAGCAGTAATTAAAATGCATAGTTTCAATAAAACTGATAATAATTTATACTTTATTTACTGCTAATAAATGATACTCGAGCAATAATTTTAATGATGAAGAACAAACAATGAATTATATTCTTCCAGAGAAGTTGTTCGAAATGTCTACCAGCTTATTCTACACATAGGCGACACCTTTTTTGAAAGTGTTTTGTCGAATTATTCAGTTAAATAGGAGTAAGAGAAGCAAAACTTTGCATCACTTCAAATTTGTATCTAGAATTGGTTCTTTAACCTTCCTCAGAGGTAAAATTCCATAGGGTTTAGGTCCGGTGACCTGGCTGGCCAAAATTTGGGTCCTTGGTTGGCTATTCAATTATTACCAAAATTTGCAGCCGACAAACTGGTGACAATTGCAGTTTTGTGAGGAGAAGCCCCATCTTGTTGAAAATATGTTTCTGGGCTCCGTTAGTCGCAATTCATCAACAAGGGGTTCAACATTTTGCCTCAAAATTTCTAAATACCTCTGAGATGTGAGAGTGCCATTATAAATGAACGGACCGATAATTCTACTAGAGAAAACACTTACCCACACACTTATCTGCTCTTCAATAGAATGAGGATTATTGTGTCCACGTATAAGAATTGTAGCGGTAGAAAATGCTCACTGCTCACTAGTAAGCTTCGTCTGTCGAAATACAATTTAACGAAAAATTACGCACTTGGTTACAACTTTCCAGGAACCATTGGCAAAAAGCCATGCGACGTTTTGGGATTATTTTCAACAGCTCCTAAAACGACTATTTCTTCCCTATTTGATTCAATAAATTTTGGCCTTTTCTTTTCAAATTGATCACCATCAGTTAGTTCCGTGTCGCAATCTTGAGACACGAACTAAAGGTTGTCCTATCTCTGGATACACCTCGTGATACAAATTGCTTGCTGCTTCTGCATTTTGTAGTTTGTATAAAACACACAATCAGATCTCATTTTTCATCATTTTCATACTTCA